ATAACCATCAAAATCTTCGCTGTTTGAGTTTCATTCCACTGTTCTTCCCCAAACATTCGACTATGAACCAATGAACTGCCTTCGCTCTTATCAAACTCAAATCTTCAAAGAGCGACTCCAATTAGTATACTCTATTAATTTCCATGGTTATTATGTACAGTATACTTAACGTTTTCGTATATTGGCCACAACTGTCTTAATTTTTATTTTATCGGCCACAACTGTCTTAATTTTGATTTTCTCATTCTAAGTCCCGTTTTCACGTCTACAACTGCAAAATTCTTTTCCTCCCTCTTCCGTCTACTACTACGATTTCCGTTTACGGTTTTTTTTCTCATCCTTCTCTGATCTTTACAATTTGTTGGGTCGGCGTTGTCTGATCAATCGGCTAACAAGAGGGAGTGATTTGGGTTTTGGTTCCGCATAGGGATTTCTGTTCTACTTCAACGTCCGTTCTTCTTGTGCTTAGGTTTGGCGAATAATCATAGAAGGTTGGAATCAAGTTCTTTTAAGTTGCTGTTTCTGTTGTTTGAAAATAATGAAAGGGATTAATTTGGGTTTTGATTACACGATTGATTTAGGTTTAGGTTGAGATTGATTGAGCAATTGTTTGTGCATCGGGATTCCTACTCTGCTTCAACTATGTGCTTCTCCTGATTATATTTTGTCAATTTATGATAAAAGGTGGGTACAATATTCTTTATTATATTGTTGTTTATCCTTTGTTGTTGAATTCTTGGGTCGATGTTTCCACGTAAACGAAGGAAAGGTTCTGCTTCTGTTCCTTCTGTTTCAAGACGCTCACGTAGAAATATATGTTCATGTATTGCCTGTGTATTACGATTGTGGCAATTGTTCTTGTATTTGCGAATTCTGTGGTGCTATTTTTGGTATAATGAGAGGGTTCTGTATCTGTCACGGGCTGATAATCTGCGGTACACCAAGTGTTGTAAGTCTGGCACTATTGTTCTTCCTCCCCCACTGTCTCCCCCTATTGTGTTATCGCAACTTTTCGAGGATGGTCACTTTCTACATAATATAAGGGCTTATAACTCTATGTTTTCTATGACATCTTTTGGTGCAAAAGTTGATGACGAAATTAACAAAGGTCGTGGTCCATATATGTTCAAGATTTCTGGTCAAATTTTCCATAGGATTGGTTCTTTTTGTTCAGATGATTCTTCACAGCCACGTTTTTTACAGTTGTACATGTGCGATGATGAGAATGAAATATCTAATAGACTACGTTCTTTTCGTACTAACGGTGATGTAGTGTTTTCTGCGGATGTCATTAATTCTTTGAGTCACATGTTGGATACTCACAATGAGTACGTTCGTACCTTTAAAACAGCGAGGGATATGGCTGAATCTATGTGTTTGGATTCATATGGTGTATGCCTCTTCAATAATGTTCCTGACAGAAGATATGGACCCCCCCTGCTCCAGGGACATTGGGTTGTATTGTCTGTGGAGATGATGTTATTGGTGCTGTTTTTGATATTGTTATTTATTCCAAGTCTGGATTACCTCAACGAGTTAGTAAGTTACATCCAGCATACATGCCTCTACAATATCCTTTGTTATTCCCTTACGGTGAGGATGGGTGGTCACCTAAAATGTGTATCCGTGGTGGTTCTGCATCAGAAGATAGAAGTTTAACTAATAACATGTATTACAGTTACCAAATTCATGAGCAGAGGGGTGTCTATTCTTTGATTTTACATGCACAACGTTTGTTTCCACAATATTTAGTGGATGCTTATACATGCATTGAGCAGTCTAGGCTTGATTACATAGAGCATCATCAACAACAGTTAAGGTCTGAGTATATTAGTAGTGCTTACGACACCCTATCTCGAGGAGACACAGACAGCCGCGTGATCAGTAAGCGTGTATTTTTGCCTGCTTCATTCATTGGTGGCCCTAGGTATATGTACAAACACTATCAAGACGCTTTGGCTATATGTAGAGTTCATGGAAAGCCCCAGTATTTCATCACTTCTACTTGTAATGTGAGATGGCCTGAATATAGAAGGTATATGGATGTTGTTGGGCAAGGTGATATCCAAAATAGACCAGACATTATAGCCCGAGTCTTTCACATAAAGGTCCATGCCTTTATAACCTTTCTTAAAGAGCATAAGACTTTCGGCGATGTCGAAGCATGTAAGTTATATGCAGCCGGTTTGATGCCCACATTAATGTTCAATATTGCGGATGGAACATGATGATAAAGTACTTATTTAAGTACATATCTAAAGGTGTAGATCGTGTCTGTTACTATGGGAATCAGCAAAGGATAAAATGGGTGACGACATACGTTATTCATACATGCAAACTTACTCGACTTATCAAATTATACCTGACACTAATATCATTGAACAACAAGTCCTATTAGAAATTCAAAAAACACTACTTGCGTCAACACCATCCAAATCACTTGCAGACTTTGGGCTACCACTGCCATCCTCTTCTGTTGTAGCTGTTCTTAAGAATAGATTGCTATTGGAGGAAACAAGTTATGACAAACAATCGCTGGCCTCCCAATACACATACATGGTCTCACAATTGAATCCACACCAACTCAAGGTTCATGAGTATGTTGTGAAAGCCACTGAAGACAAAAGACAAATACTCCTTTTTTTATACGGTCATGGTGGTACTGGTAAAACGTTCCTGTGGACAACCCTACTTTCATATCTAAGATCCATTGGAAAAATTGTCCTTGCAGTTGCAGCCTCAGGAATTGCATCATTACTCTTACCGTCTGGTCGTACTGCACACTCAAGATTCGTCATCCCAATTGATCTAACTGATAAGTCGTCCTGTAATATTAAAAAAAGAACACAACTTGCCGAGCTGTTAAAAACTACATCCATGATAATTTGGGATGAGGCTCCGATGAGTGACAGACGATGCTTTGAATTCCTTGATAAATCTCTACGTGATATTTTGGAAGATGATAGTCATTTTTTTGGTGGGATGTCAATGTTGTTAGGTGGTGACTTCCGTCAAACACTTCCAGTTCAACCTAAAAGCAGAAAATCAGACATAATTAGCTTTACTCTCCCAAATTCATATTTGTGGTCAACCTTTACAGTATTCAGGTTGCATCACAACATGCGATTGTCAGACACAGGAACTTCTGTTGACTCTACACGTCGCACATCAGAATTTGCTTCATGGTTACTTGACATAGGTGATGGAAAGATCGGAACTCCAGACAAAGAAGATCCACATAGCACAAGGATCATACACATACCTGACATGCTTCTAATAAAATAAAAAGATCAGGGACTCGCAACACTTATTGATTTTGTGTATGGTTCTGAAATACTAACTAACGCATCACCTCAAGAGTTGTCTGCTCGGGCAATTATTTGTCCAAAAAACGAGACTGCAGAACGAGTCAATACTCTAATTTTGTCAAAAACACAAGGTCAAGAGGTAGTGTATAACAGCTATGATTCAATAAAATCACCCACTCGAGATGCATTGGACTTGGATACACTTTATCCACAAGATTACCTAAATAACTTAGATTTCTCCGGTGTTCCCACACACAACTTGTGTTAAAGTTAAACACACCTATAATGCTGCTAAGAAATATCAATCAAAGAGAAGGTATGTGCAATGGGACACGTTTGATTATTACACAGTTGCTACCGTCGGTCATTGAGGCATCCATACTAACAGGAACATGCATAGGCAAACGGGTGTACATTCCAAGAATCAAGTTTATTCACAATAGTCCAGACCTACCATTCATTTTCACAAGAAAACAATTCCCGGTAAAAGTTTGCTATGCAATGACCATAAACAAGAGTCAGGGTCAATCGCTAAAAAAAGTCGGTCTATTTCTTGAAAACTCCGTTTTCAAACATGGCCAACTATACGTCGCACTATCTAGAGCTACCTCACCCGACTCAATTAAAATTCTATTACAAGAAGAGGAAGATTTACCAGTGAATAGTACCAAGAACGTTGTCTTCAAAGATTTGTTGGTGAAAGTTGAAATGCGCGAGGTTTTATATCATATATATGTATTTGGAATATGATCTATCTAACCCAATGTGTAAAATTGTTTTGTTACAGAATTTCAAACCCCATGGTCACCATATTATTGTTTTTCACTTACTAAAAAACTAATCAACAATTTTTTTTATGCTAGCACCCAAGTGATGCCAGATATGGATAGAATATCCAACCTCTACTTCGGAGCACTGGGAAAACCACTAGAGATACGTGTGCTTCGAAAATGGACATCGAACTTCAGGAAAAACGACACCTGGTTCATCATTGTGGACAAACATGTAAGGAACAAATTGAATCACAAACCACCTCAGTCATCCACATTTATGTCCACAACTTTCTTGCTTTTTTTTTCAACAGGGAGATGCAATACAACTACTTGAACAAAAAAAAGATGAAACAACTATACAGTGAAAACTACTACTCAATGAATGCTATCGCATTACAGATTACACATGTACAACTCCAGATAAGTACCAAAAAATTCTAGATCACCCAGTTCACATTAACATTGGGGAGGCATCAACAATTGAACAAATATTTGAATGTCCATCCCTTCCAAAAGTATGGTTTCGATTCCAACCACGTGCTCACTTACATACCATAGCTGACAAGAACATCGAATATCCAGGTATAGTTTGCATGCAGACACAAAGATTACCTTACATTGTAGAACATATGTACACAACTTCCTTAAAAACATACTCATTGCAATTAAAACTATGTTCAGATTTCATCGGGGTCCTAATAAACATAAAGGAACGAAAGAAGAAAAACAAGGAACCCTTCGTAGCAATGACACTTGCAGACGCAAAGTAAGTAATACATATCATAAACAAATCTCATCCGACAAATGCATAGGACTAACATTTTAATTCATCACCACCAACACAAGTGCTGAGGAGATCACAATACTTTTATGGAAAGAATGCATAGACTCACCTACAAAGTTTGACCGGAATGCCATTATGTCTAATCCCAGCACATCTGTCATTGCTCTAACAAATGTCAAGGCAACAATGTATAACGGTTAGTTTTACAACATTATTTCTTATCAAATCACCGATGTGACACATTATACAATATTAACTAATTTTGTATTCTAAACAGGAAGCTTAACCTTAACAAGTAGCATGGCAACATACCTATATATCAATCCGCCAATTTCTGAAACCGAAACTCTTCTTCAAAGGTAATTGACAATCTAATATACTGATAAATAGCATTAATACTCTATTCCACAACTGTACTTTCTACTGAAAAATCCAAACTTTTTAAACTTAATATAACCAATTACAAGGTTTGGAACTGAATTCCGTCCAAGGCTTAGTCCCACAGCAGTAACAACTACGCTACAACAACTCAAAAACTCAAATTATTCCGACATTGTGGTAACTATTCACCTCATCCCCTATCTCCAAAAAAAACACATATAACATTCGTTCAATATCTAATTAAAACATGTATCAGGGGAAGAAATTCGTCGCAGAGGCTACAATAACAGACTTTACGTTCAAAGATTGTTGGTACCATGTTCCTTGCAATAGCTGTGCAAAATGAACACACAAAAAGGGAAATGGGTGGTTCTGTATATCACATGGAACTATCAATGATCCAAAACTTCTGTGAGTGACAACTTTGTTGCACCATACTCCAATTATCCATACCCACTAACAAATAATTTTTCATCTAATAACAGTTACAAAGTTTCAGCTGTTGTCACAGACAACACAGACTCAATGACAATTTTTATGTCAGATGAAGCCACACAAACATTGACAAAGGCTACCTCAGAAGAACTGATCAACCGCAATCTAAGTCAACCAAGGGATATCCTACCCCCAACATTAGAGAGATGCAAAGGATCAACAAGAAATTGGTTTATACAATGCACAAATTTATCAGCCACCAACAACATCCGCTTCATAATCACCTCAACAAGTGAAACTGGAAATCGAGAACCCAAGGTTGTCATCCCCTCAAACACACCAGTTACACCAATGACAACAACAGAACACATTACGGTCACAACAAAAAAGTCGACACCTGTTGCAACAACACTCAAATCCGAAAAACGGCTAACATCTGAAGATACTGGTATATCACATAACTATACTATGTGGGTATCAAAATAACGCATAACAATTTTACTGCTTTTACAGATGCCACTTATGAACAACAACGACTAACAAAAGGGAAATGCACAAGAAAGACAACAGCAAGGGCAACAATCAATCCAACAACATAGCACCAACAACTGACCATCACTACATAACATTATGTATAACATAAGATAGAATTACCATTACAAATATGTGCCACCTTTACTGATTAATGCTAAGTAGGTCGTTTATGTGGTAAAATGTTGACATTCAGATACTTTTTAGTTAAATAAATAAACTATTTTGTCCTTCTTCTTATTATCTCACCGTAATGAGAGTTTTTTGTCATATGTTAAAAATATTTTCATATCAAGTGATTAATATTTTTTGACCATTTTGAACTCAACAAAACTCAAAGTTGTTATCAGTTTTCACTGTAATAGCTAAATGTAAAAGTGTGTACATAAACGTTATAGAAAGCAATTTAAATAATAACAAAAGTAAACTTTTATTACAGTAATGGTCATTGTTGCGTAAACTTTTATATAAATGGTCATTATATCAACATATCTGTTACAGTAATGGTCCTTGTGCCAAGAATCTGTTACATAAATGGTTCCTCTATCATGAATCTGTTAGAAAATGGTCCCACGTAAATAAATTGCTTAAATTTCCTTCTTTTTCTATATTTTTTTTCCAATATATAATATTTTTTCCCAAATAAAAGAAGTTTTTGTATGTGTGATAATTATTGATTTCCTGTTTCATTTTCCATTATGATTTTGCTTTTTTTTTTCCTTTCCAACTCTGTGGATTTGAAATTTCACAAGCCTTCTTGAAATGGGGACAACATATGGGATCGTAAAAAATTGATAAATAATAGAAGGTGTTTTAACAATCCCATGAATTAAAGGAAACCTGAGAAAAAATGTTTTATGGCTTTCTTGAAATTTTGCTCCATAACATCCTTTAATTACGTCAGCATCATGGATAAGGGTAAATGACGATTTTACCATTGCTAGAATCCAAAGGTATGAATTTGATAATCTTGAAAATGGATAATGAATGACTATTTAAGATTCAGGTTTTCCGGTTTTCATTAACATAATAAGAATTTTGTATTCATTAAAATTAAATTTTAGAGTTGTTTTAGTTAACATACGCTTGATTTTTGATCAATTAGGAAAAAGAATTTTATAATATACCCCCATAGTTAGTTGCTAATTAGAATGGTTAGTTTCAAATTTACTTTTTTGGAATCGATTATAATATTTGGATTGATTAAGAGTATGTTAAAAGTTCATCAAATCTGGATTTCCATTTCAATCCAAGAGTCCAATTGTGACATTTTTTAAAAGTATAATGCCATTCTTTTTACTTTTAACGTATAATGCTATTATGGGCATATTTTGCTACCCCCATTAAAATTAAGGCCATTAAAATTAAATTTTAGAGTTGTTTTAGTTAACATACGCTTGATTTTTGATCAATTAGGAAAAAGAATTTTATAATATACCCCCATAGTTAGTTGCTAATTAGAATGGTTAGTTTCAAATTTACTTTTTTGGAATCGATTATAATATTTGGATTGATTAAGAGTATGTTAAAAGTTCATCAAATATGGATTTCCATTTCAATCCAAGAGTCCAATTGTGACATTTTTTAAAAGTATAATGCCATTCTTTTTACTTTTAACGTATAATGCTATTATGGGCATATTTTGCTACCAGAATTGAAATTTTTTAAAGAATGATTATTATTTTTTCTTTTTTATAGTATAATGCTATTATAGGCTTACTTTGCTACCACTTCTTACATATTTTTAAAGTACAATGTCATTCTTTTATGTTTCTAAAAGTTTATATTCATACAATTTGAACACTTGATTTGTAGCATAGGTGCATTTCGGTTTGGTATTTGTTAACATAGAATACGATAGAAGGGATGTGAAATTGTTCATCAATTCACCCATTTCTTCTGAAAATTCAGATATGATATCCTTTAGTTAGACTTTTTGATTTTTGCTACTATTTTCAAGATGGATGTTGTAAATAGTCTTTCACCAGTTAAACACATATTTGAATTATAGTGTTTAGGAAGCATGTACTACAATTTAAATACAAATCCATCAACCAATAAACATCCAAAACATGTGCCCAACTACTATATTAGAAAGAAGCCAAATTTTGTATAAGGAGAAGAGCATAAACGACTAGGTAAAAGCGGAAATTAAAATTACAACCGGGAAATGCCAGCTTTCTTATAGGGAAATCATGACTTTGTTCTTGACCATTATTTCAAAATGAGATCTCCTTAATGGAAACGAACTTTATCAAATAAACTAATTATACAATAGTTACTGTTAGTGGAAGGAAGAAATTTTCATTTATGAAATACCATCTATATCATGTCTTTACTACCTTTTTAATTGTACAATACGCAACACTAATAATTGAAACGTTTATCATTTAGAAAACGATGACAAAATAAAACAAATAACGTGACCCGTGGTTCACCACGGGTTCATACACTAGTTCATCTAAATCGACATCACATTCTAATAACGAATCTAGACCCCAATTTTCGTTAACAACAATCAAAATCATCGACAATACAGTAACCCTTCGTACATCAACGATTTCTTCCCAAAACAGTCGACGACTCCAAAATTTTCGTTAATTGAAATCATCGATTCCAACATCAACTGTTCGTTCGTTAATGGATTCACTTTTCATCGATTACAATCCTTCGCTTTTTAGTGTAAACCATCTGTTCATCAGACCCATCAAAATAAACTGGCAGCGATCGACATTGAATTCCATTCACGATTCCAAAACCTTCAATCTCTAATAGCGAACCCCAAAATCAAATTCTTCATGACAGAAATCCAAAAAATTTCAAACGAGTTTTAATTTCAGTCCATTCGAAATCCAGAAACTCATACTCATCGATTACAATTTCATCTCAAAAATCCAATTTTGACTTTTGCTTTTGACTTCGATAAACTGTTATCAATGAACACCAAATTGAGTTCTTCCAAATCAATTTTCAAATAAAAAAATACCGACTCAACAAACTCATCCTGTTCTTGATTGATCATTCAGTGTTCATCAGTAAACGTCATTAAGAACTTGATTTAAATCAACAATCAACACATCCGATTCATAAATCGAATCGAGATAAAGAGACGGAGAATATGATGAATATAATCGTGAATCAAAATCTGATCGAATTGAGTGAGTTGATATACTGAACAAATATCTCAAATCAATTTTTTAAAATACTCGAGTAGATGCGACTTGACGGAAGAAAAAAAATCGAAAGATGTGAATAATAGATTCAAACGAGAAGAGATCGGCCACATATTTTGACTTGATGAAATATGTTTTGTGGTTCAATAATCAATACCACAAAATTGGGCTCAATAACATCAATAGTAACAAATCACGAGAATTGGGCTAAAACTTGATTATCAAATGAACAGACATATCGAATTAATCAAATTAGAGTACCCGGTATGGGCCTCAACGAGAAGAGACGAGGCTGAGGTAGCAAGGCGCAACGCCGTCTTAACGGGGAAACACCGCCCCCCCAACTCGTTGCATCTCGGCAGGGGTAATTTCAAATCACGAATTGATGCGAAATCCAGGCTATGCTATTGTCATTCAACCGCTACAAGATCAACAATTCCATAAGCTTGGGCCTCTGTTGCTGACATAAAAACATCTCTTTCCATGTCTTTGGAGACAACCCATAGGGGTTTGCCCGTTCTTTGTACATAAATATCATAAATTTGGGCTAAATAAAAAAAGAAATGGATCATAATGAATTTTGAGCTAGATTTTGATTCAAATGAATTGCAAGTTGAGAATCGAATCGAGCAAAATAATATGAGATTGGATCGGGGCTTGATCAATGAAAAAATTATTGGATCATAGCAAGTGGGTTTTTCAATAAAAAATTGATCCAATGAGTCAAAATGATCAAAAATTCAAGAACGCAACGCATGATTCAACAAGATTAAGAGAGATCATAGAGAGAGACTCACCAATAATGCTTCAATTGTGACAAAAGTTGTCAAACCCGCTCTGATACCAATTGTAGTGACTATAGAACATGGTTTGGCATGCGGAATTAAAGATTGCACAATGAACATGCTGATTTCGGTGTTTAAGAGATGTATTGAATATGTATGGTGTTACACAAAAAGGGATCTAGATCTAGTCTACATAAATAACACACACTTACACACTCAACTTTTACACCTCTCAAACACACCTCTACAAGTGGACTAAACCCACCTTATATAGAGGTGTTTACATGTCTCTCTCTCACTCTCTCTAACTCATGAGTCAAAAAGCTAATGCACCACATGCAAGTGGGTTTTACAAAAGTCAACACATTACAAAGTTAAACATGAATAACTTTGCACCCCAACATTGGATCTCTGGCCAGTACACCCTGCGTACTCCTTAGTACGCTGCGCATACTGGGTCAACAGTCAGCTTCCGGGTCAACATGTGTATGCAGGACATACGCCAAGCTGTGGGCCTCCTTTTATTTTGGGTCACTTTTGGGCTATAGGATTTTGGGACTTGAATATCTTATGGAATTGGGCCATTTTAGTAAGGGTAAAATAGTCTTTTATCATTGGAGTCGATAATTTTGAATTAAAGTCTTGGTTATGTTTCATGACCTAGTTATTAATTAGGGTATTATTTGATCATATTTAGTGTGGAGATTTCCTAGATCAGCAGTCCTAACATTTATCTGATTTTTTAGCAGTTTGAGGTGAGTCTCCTCCAGTGTTTGGTGGGTCGAAGGCACTAATGTCGGTCGATGGATTATTGTTATTTGTATACTAGTTGTCTATGTGAATCTTGCATGTATTGTATGTGTTTTTATGTATACCGGACTGGGCTCGATGTGAGGCAAGGCTTGATGAGTGTGTTGGGTGGGGCCCATAACATGTTACAGACAGATCTGTACCCGGGCGGGGCCCGATGAATAACGGGCGAGACCCGATGCCGGGTAGGGCATGATGTATGTTTGATATGTATGGTATGTCGTATTTTGGGGAACTCACTAAGATTTGTGCTTACGGTTTTCAGTTTATGTTTTAGGTACCTCCGGATGGAAGGGGAAG